AGAAAAAAACCAAAAACAAAACCAAAAAAACTAGTGCCCTCCACGTTTTTTTTTGTCGTTTTGCTTGGTGGTGTGGTTTGCCGTACGTGTATTTTGAGTGCTCACTGATTGGCTGTTACGTTCAAATAGTCAAGCCTTTGCTTTTATGAGATGCTAAGCCTCTTAAGACCTCAAGGACGTGCTAATTACCACGGCGTGACTTCTGCTTATGTTGGTGGGAGTCTCAGCCTGCTGTGATTTTGATGGTTGGGGGCATGAATGAAGAAGCCTAGTCCAAACAATGCACTTTCCAGTGAGATAGAAGTGGGTCGTGTTGTAGTCCTGTTTCAGCTCTGCCTACTGGTTCAGTCTAGAGGATTAAAGCATTCAAGGGGAGGCCATGTGGCTCAGTGGTGCCCACCACTGTTAGAGATGGCCTTGTGTTAGAGTGCCTGTTTCCAGTCCTAGCTGCTCCGCTCTGATCTAGCCTCTGGCCAGTGCACCTGGGAGGCAGCAGACGCGGGCTGCAGTGCCTGGATGTCTTTGCGAAGCCTGGCCTCACCCCGGCTGTTGCAGCCACTTGGAGAGGGAACCAGCAGATGGATGCAAGTGCATTCTGTTTCTTCTCTTCATATAAAATAAAGTATATATTTTTAAAGATTGATTTTTATTTGAAAGTCAGATTTCAGAGAGAACAAAAGATAGAGGTCTTCCATCCACTGGTTCACTCTTCAAACGGCCACAACTGCCAGAGCAGAGCTGATCTGAAGCCAGGAGCCAGGAGCTTCTGGGTCTCCCATGTGGTGGCAGAGGCCCAAGAACTTGGGCCATCCTCTGCTTTACCCAAGCTATAAGCAGAAATCTGGATCGTCAGTGGAGCAGCTGGGGCATTAACCGGCGCCCAAATGGGATGCTGGTGCCAAAGGCTGAGGATTAGTGTGCTGTGCAATTAGGCCAGCTCTGAAAATATTTTTTTTTAAAGGAAGAGAATTGGGCATGGTGCAGTAGCCTAATGGCTAAATCCTCACCTTGCATGCAGTGGGATCCTATATGGGCACCGATTTGTCTCGGCTGCTCCACTTCCCTTTCAGCTCCCTACTTGTGGCCTGAGCAGGCAGTAAAGGATGACCCAAAGCCTTGGGACCCCGCACCTGCATGGAAGACTCCAAAGAAGCAGTTGGCTCCTGACTCCTGGCTTCAGATCAGGTCAGCTTCAACTGTTGCAGCCACTTGGGGAATGAAGCAGCAGATGGAAGATCTGTCTCGCCTCTCTGTAAACGTACTTTTCCAGTAAAAATAAGTAAGTCTTTACAAAATAAATAAAGGAAGATAATTTTACTTTTTGTGTCTTGGCTGGCAAGATAAGATCAAATCTGTCATTCCCCAGCGGTACTTTTTTTTTTTTTTTTTTTTGCTGGAGTTTGCCCCCACTCACACTCTCCTTTTTTTAAAATTGCAAGGAACAACTGCAGCTCTCTTCCTCCAAGTCCCGACCCGCCAGCACCAGGCTCCCCTAATGCAGGTGCCTCTCCTGGGCCCAGGAGACGGAGATGGCTGACCTCCTTGGCAGTGGTGCCCAGGGCTGTGAACCTGGCGTGCCCTGTTCCTGCTCTGGTTTAGCAGGTTGTCAGACCTCTCATTGTGATACTCTTCTGTAAGATGCCTCGTTGCTGTGTTTTCTTCTCTGTCAATTTTGAGCTGTAATCCAGTTATTGGCCTAGGTAGGAGAAAAACTGCTTTAAAATGTGTTTGTAAAGATGTTCTGTTGCTCTAATAACAGTTACTTGAAGGTTTGCTTGGCTCCATGATTGAGAGCCAGGGTGGCCAAGAGGTCAGGTAGGTGACTTCCAGCTGCACCTGCCTCGTGTCTCTTAACTCGAACTCTGCTACTTAGCAAGTCCCATTGAGTGATTTTTTTAATCCCTTTCCCCATCATAGGTTTCTACTCTGCAAAGTCAGGTGGTGATTGGAGTGTGAATTGTTGGCTTGGGGTGTGTCAGACCCTGCTCAGTGCTCTCCCCACAGTTGCTGCAGGCCTCAGGAGAACTCAGAGAGGTGGGTGCTGCCATGCCTCCTGTTCGCCGTGTGATGATGATGGGCAGCAGCATGCATTAGGCACCTGCTGCACACCACAGTGTCACACGCTGTCGTAGGGAAGTTTCGGAAGGTGAAGTCACTTCACCTGGGGGCCTGGCTGCATGCTGCGAGGTCTGGCGCCTGGAGTAAAGCCCTTGGCACTGGGCTGACACAGAGCAGAAGCTCATGTTGTAGTGATGCCTGAAATCAGTGAAGCCCTAGAAACCACTGTGCCTCTCGTTTGGCTCGGCAGCCTGTGTCTGATGGTGTTACTGGGGAGCAGCCTGTAGGGATCTCATCACTCGTGCATGGTCCGGGCCACCTTGTACATGACGTCATGAGTCCCACCAAGTCCCCTCCCACTGATACCCCGCGATTATGCTCCGTAGACCTTCATCTTCCTCTTTGTCGTCGTTGTCATCAGCTTCAGCTTCTTCTTCATCTTGCTCTATTTATTTGAAAGGCTGAGTTACAAAGATGTCCCATCTGCTGGTTCACTCCCCAAGTGACCATGCTGATTGGGAGTGAACAAAGCCGAAACCGGAAGCCAAGCGCTCCAACCTGATCTCCTGCATGAGATGGGCCCGTGTACTTGGTCATCTGCTGCTGCCTTCCCAGCACGTGAGCAAGGGGAAAATTAGGAAGCAGAGCAACTAGGGCTCACGCAGGTGCCCCGACTTGGAATCTGTATTGCAGGCAGCAGCTGAACCTACTGTGCCACAATGCCGGCTTGCCTGGCCCTTCTTGGAGTGAATTATTGAACCAAAATATGTGGGTGTGTTGGATAAGAGGGAGGGCAGGAATGCTGGCTTGTATGCTAGGGTTTTTCCTCTGGGTTGATTATATCACTGTTTCTTGGACTGTAGGTGGAGTTTGATCTTAGGGATTGTGTGTGTGTGTGTGTGTTGGCGGGAGATTGTGTATTGAGAGCTCTCTCTCTCTCAGCAGTGGGGCTTTAGGGAGGGACTGGCACTCCTTATGCTTGGTAGTGCTGGCTCTGGTGCAGGGATCTCCCTGGAGTCTGTGACAGATGAGTGCGTGTCCCCTCCCCCAGCCAACCCTCCACAGCCACCCCCTCCAGCCATCCCCCTCCAGCCATCCCTCCACAGCCATCCCCCTCCAGCCATCCCCCCCCCCAGCCATCCCTCCACAGCCAGAAACAGGTGAGAAACAGCAGGTGCTCTCCGAAGACCCTTCCAGGAGGCAGGACAGTGGCCAGCTAGTTCAGACAGGAGAGTCAGGCTGCTGAGCCGGGCAGCCAAGGCAAGGCTACCGAAAGCGAGAATCCTAGCTGGCTGTGGGCCTAGCAGGGAGGTGGTGCGCTCGTAGGTGTGGCGGTGGTGTGAGTTGGCAGTTGTTTTGGGAAGCATTTTGGTAACACCTGTCACGTCTGGAAATATTTTGATTCAGGATTTCATGTTGGAACATCCTTTAAAAAAGCTACCCTGACTCCATAATCCCCGACACCACTTGTTAAAGTGAGCAGTGGGCAGTAGTTGGATTTGTTTTTCTATATGTAGGGCCAAGACATCGTGTGACATGGTATGAACTGACGTATTAAGCTTTCATAGAAAAGAATAGCATCATTATATACTGATATGGAGCGATATCTAGCTTTTCTATAGCAAAAATTGCAAAATCATGTCTAATATTCAATTGTTAAAGTAATATTTTGTACTTACAATAAAGAAAATTATGTTGCAACATTCTTTTAGTATGAATTTAAGTATTTACTCAAAGTATCTGCGTATCATCACTTTCAAATCTGTGAAGTAAATCTGGTTTAATAAAGATCTGAATTATAGAGGTAAGGCAGCAAAGGTTTGCATTTTAAAAAAGTTCCTACAAAATTTCTTTGTGGGAGAAAATATATCATGATTTGCGTAGGTAATAATTTGTTCTGAATAGATAAGCATGTGTTTTTAGAAATGTTCCTTTGTGTAATTGTAAATTTATTTCATTTACTAATAAGTTTTTCTTTATTTTCTGGAAAGTTCTTTATTGAGGGTGCGGATGTATTTCACAAACACAGATCATCAAAGTCGCTAACGTGGTAGGTTCCACATTGATGAGATTTTTCCTATAGCTAATCACTGGAATTTTACTGGATCCTGCTCCGTGAAGGAAATTATTTTGCAACGAACCCCAGGAGGCTTGGCCCTTGTTCAGAAGTCTTCTTGCTCATTTGTACGTCAGTATTTTAGCATGCTCAAGTGTAGTATTGGGAATCTACCAAGCACAGAGCAGGAATGCAGGCGCAGTGTGTGAGCTTGTCAACCAGCAACATGTGTGTTACACACAGCAGGGCTAGGTCCTTCTCATGACTTCTTCTAAGTGGTCCACTTGCTGGAAATGACGTCTGTGTGACTGCTGTTTGACTCATTCATTCTGTTACCAAAGTCCTGCTGTATCTCGTGGCCTTGAGACAGATACACGGCAGCAGCCTGCAGTCCGTGCTGGAAGCCGTCTCCATCCACCTGCCACCTGGCTGGACGCCTGTGGAGTACACAGGGCTGCTGCCTGTGGACCTGACCGACACTCAGCCAGAAGCCAGTGTGCTCCAGGCACTGTGCTCGTGCTGAAATGTTGTATTTTGTTGTTCTGTAGCAGGTCAAGATTTTTATGCTGACTTTACAGCAAGAAAATTCAGGGTTCTGGGAAGCAGAGTGCCGCAAGCACGCAGTCCGGTAAAATTGTAGACGCAGCTTTCCAACTCATAATCTTTATGTTCATTGCCCTGCTTTGATTTTGTAGAACCAAGATATGGCAACAGTCATGGAAGAAGTAGATATTTATGTTTAATGTTTGGATGGAATCTTTGAATACTTAAAAAAATATGTAAGTCAGTAATAGCCACTTCGCAGACAAACTTACCATGTTTATTTGTTGTTGCCCCTTAAAGCAGACTTGATGTAACTGTGATTTTTTTTTTTCCATTTTTGTAGGCAGTGATCAAGTTCATCTGTGGACACTAGTTACAAACCAAGCCTTGCATGTTGCGTGGAGGATAGCGAGGGGCTCTGTGACCCTGGCCGTGTCCTTTCTGGCGGCGACGCTGTGCTATTTCCGGAGGCTCCATTTGCACCTAGGGTACCGGCTCAAGTGGTGAGTCATTGTGCAGTGTTTAGATTTCCAAAATGCCCTCGCTGCTTAAGGCAGAGCTTTGACAGTATTGTTCCCTTTGTCCTTCAGGTGGATTGGATATCTGCAGAGAAAATTCAAAAGTAAATATTTTCAGCCTTTTGTTTCTGTATTTTTGTAAGGTGCAGAGAGGGTTCAACGTTAACTGCCTGCTAATTTTGTATTTGGTTCAGGAAACCTCAGCGTGGAGGCTGAAGTTGACTTGCTCAGTTATTGTGCAAGAGAATGGAAAGGAGAGACGCCCCGTGCCAAGCTGATGAGGAAGGTGTGTCTGTAGAGGTTATGGAGTATACGGAATTCTCTGTCAAAATCGGGGAATATTCCACTCCACGTCTCTGAGTCCAGACATCAGCCGGGACCAAATGGAACGTGAGCAGCAACATTGTGACTTTCAGTTCCTATGCTGATGCTGCTGGCGCTGACTTGGGCCTCTCTCCCGGGGAGTGGGCCTCCAGGGTCTGAGTCAGGAAACCTGGTTCCCACCTGCCAGGCCCTTCACACACCTGTGAGCGCATTGGAGATGGTTCTTGGATGAGATTGGGCACCCTGGTGTAAACAGTTTGAAGATTTTGAGAAATTTTGCATTGAACCGGCCTTGATAAATATTCCCAGCAGTGCTGTCAGGTCTTGTTCCTTGTAAAGGCCAATAAGAAGGGAGGACTCTGCTTAACGTTCTCCTTAGCAGGTCTTGACAGCGTGTAGTGTTTTCACTGTGCTGAGCTCGTATTGCTCATTAGCCCCCAGTGGTCGGCCCTGGCCCGGGCTGTCCAGGAGTTCACATCTAACAGAGTGTGACAGCCCCTGTGTGTGAGAGAGTCACTTCAAAATCACCTGCAGTCGTGGTCACAAGTTGCTTTGTTTCGGTTGTCTACTTTAGTTGGGAGGAATGGCTGACCACAGGCACATTTCCGAGGTGTCTGCTGAACCTCCTTTCTTCTCTCGTCTGGTCGAGTTCACCAGCAGCTTGTCTTTCTGTGCTCGCAGGCCTATGAGGAGCTCCTTTGGAGGCATCATATTAAATGTGTGAGACAAGTGAAGAGGGATAACTACAGCGCTCTGAGGTCAGTGCTGTTCCAGATATTCAGCCAGGGCCTGTCCTTGCCATCCTGGATGAAAGAGAAAGACATCATTAAGGTATGTCTTCGCCCCAGAGAGGGGGCTGTCGTGCCGGGACCTTCGGGGCTCCGAAGCTCCTGATCTCCGCTGGGCAGCTTTGTACTGGGCTCCTGAGATTGACGCCATTTCACTCAGTCTTCTCTCCCTCAGGTCATTTTGCAAGAGAAGTGAGGAAGATAGGCCTGTGCTGTTTGTAGTACGCTCATCTCTTCATGAGGGTTATCTAGCTTTTGAATGTAAAGTGGTCTGGTGAAGTTCAGCTTTTTAAAAACATTTTTATTTGAGAGGCAGAGAGAGTGGGTGAGCGAGCATGCAAGCATTCCCACCCCTTGGTCCACTCCCTAAATGCTTGCAGTGGCCACCGGCTCGGCCTGAAGCCAGGGGCCAGGCACTCAGTTCATATTTGCCGAGTGAATGTCAGTTGGATCATCTCTGTTGCCTTCCAGACTGTGCATTAGCAGGAAGCTGGAGTCAGGAGCCAGGCATTGAAGCCAGGCACTCCAATATGGGATGCAGGCATTGGAATCACTGCACGAAATACTTGCCCCAAATCTCAATTCAGCAGTTACAGGAATTTTAACAAATGCGTATGATGTGTAACCACTGCCATAGAAAGCCTCTGATATGAGTTTATAATGCCTATACTCCTTCTCCAAGCCTCCAATAAGATTTTCATTTTCATTTTATTTGAAAAATAGAAATGGAGGCAGAGAACCAGTTGGAGAGAAATCTCCCATCTGCTAGTTCACTTCCCAGATGCCTGCATTAGGCACCAGGAATCTGGAACTCAGTCTGGTGTTTCCACATGAGTTGGTGGGGACCCAAGTAACTGAACCACCTCCTGTTGACTCCCAGAGTGTGCCTCTATAGGAACCTGAACTAGAAGCCAGGAAGTCAAAGCAGACACCTTGATATGGAATGCAGGCTTCCTAAGCAGAAACGTAACCACTCCGCTAAATATCCATCCCTGTGGCCTTGGGAGCCTGGCCTCTTTCACTTAACATAAAGCATTTCCAGTTCCCCCATGCTGTCCATGCATTGGTAGCTTATCCATGTTTGTTGTTGTTGAGTGATTTGCTAACTCTGAATGAAGCTGTTATAAATCTTGTGTAGAATTTTGTATGAACATTCATTTTCATTTCTGTCAGGTAAATACCAATGGGGAGAATGCCTGGTTGTGTGGCAGGTGTGTGTTTTTATTCACTCATTTTTAAAGCTGTGTTTATTTACTTGAAAGAATTTTACACAGCGAGAGGAAGAGGCAGAGGACTATATCATCCAGTTGCTGGTTCACTCCCCAATGGCCTCAGCGGCTGGAGCTGGACCAGGTCAAAGCCAGGGTCTGAAGGTTCTTTCAGATCCCCCGTGTGGGTGCAAGGATCCAAACACTGAAACACTCAGGCTATTTTCCACCGCTCGTTCAGGCAGGTTAACAGAGAGCTGATTGGAAGTGAGGCAGCCAGTTCTTGAACAATGTCCATATGGGATGCCAGTGTTGCAGGTGACAACCTTACCTACTAGGCCATAAGGCTAGGCCTGGCAGGTGTATGTTTGTAAGAAACTGCCAAACCATTGGCCGAGGTGGTTCAGCCACTCCGTGTGCTCCCCAGCAAGGTGCGCAGGCTGCACTTGCTCCGCAGTCAGGCTTTTCCACTTGTTTGTGTTGGGTGTACACTGCCCTAGTGAGTGATGATGCTGAACATACTTTCACATGTTTGTTTATTGTGCAGTTTATCCTCTAGAAGAAGCTGCTGTTCAAATCTTTGCTCATTTAGAAAATTGTTTATTGTCCTGTTACGAGAGTGGAGTGCTCATGGTGTGTTCTGGATGCAAGAACTGTATGAGGTGTGGGATCTGCAGACACATCCTGTCAGTTTTGTGGACAGGCTTACAAGGGAGGCTCTGGATTCAATAAGCTAAATAGGGTATGAAAGTGGATTGTACACCATGGAATACATTCTGTTCCTGCATCCATCCATCCACTCTTGTCTTACTTAATCCTAACAAAGACCCTGTAAAGTGGACAGCATTGTGGTTAGTGTGCACTGAAGGCGAAGTAAGACGGCACAGCAGCAGTACTGGGGGGACATCTGTCCAGTTGGTGAGTGATGGCTGGGCTGGGGCTGCCGAGTGAACGCTCAAGTAATGGACACCGTTGACACTGCTTTAAAAAATTCTAAAAGAATGCATGTAGGGAGTTGGGTAGGTATTTTAACCAAAAAGAATGTTTTTATGAACATAATCCTGTATTGAGATTTTATCACTTAATTTAGTTCACAAATTTAGAAAATGAGTATATGCTTTTTAACTTGTTATTACAGTCTTCTTAAGTGAGATAAGATTTGGTACTGTGACACATTTCAAGTTGAATGCAATAAATGTTGAGATACTGATCATTTGGTATCTATTTCCTCTTTAAGCTTCCTGAAAAACTGCTGTTTTCACAAGGTTGCAATTGGATTCAGCAGTACAGTTTTGGTCCTGAGAAATATACAGGTTCAAATGTGTTTGGGAAATTACGCAAATGTGTGGAGTTACTGAAAACTCAGGTGAGTCTACAGGTGAAAAAAGACAAGACTAGGAATAAAAGCGTTCATGCCAGCTCTCGCCAGTTTCGTCTGATGTCCGGCCTGTGGCTGTTCAGAGAAGCATAAGCAGAAGTGCTGCTTCTGCAGCTGCCAGTTTCCTTGTCCTTGTCCTTGCAATAACGAATGCGCACTTGTTGCTCTGCATGGTCGTTCAGCCCTTTGCAGCATCTGGAAATTTCCACGGACTGGTCAGGAAACCCCAGCAGTCAAGGTATCATTGTTTACCCCAGAAAACTGTCGTGTAAGTCACAGACAGCTCTCAGAAATGCCCTTGTGGAATGTAGCCTGTCCTGTTGATCACTTGAGGTTGGCACAGGTGGGATGATTAACTTGAGGGCTCTTGTGGCCTGTTAATGGTGACACGGCTTTGGTGACTGGAAGGGCCCCGAGCCCACCCTCCACTGCCGGGGTTTCCTGGGCACCTCTTGCTTTTGCTGAGCTGTGGGTGTTTCACATGTAAAAGAGAAGGGTGAAAAGGATGTGTTCTGTACAGTTCCTGAGTGCCTTTGTGAGTTTACATATAGAGAATGCTCTCAGCTCTGCCTGTGTGTAGTGGGTATTGAAGAACGCCAGCACTGTTTATTGGACTAGCTCTTGCAAAACCCAAATGTCCTAAGCCATTTTAGAAATAGAATTTGCTTAATGCTTTATCTAGTTTGTTGTGCTTTTTAAAAAAAGGTATTTTATTTAAACTGGTCTGTTAGTCTAAAAGTTAATATATAATGCTGGGTAGCTCAGGCTACTGTAATAATATGAGCTGGGCAACTTGAGCGGTAGTTTATCTTTCCTGGCTATGAGGTTGCCAGTCTCACAGTGCCCTGGCAGGGATTTCAGTGAGGCCATCTTCCCAGTTTCCAGACAGCTGCCTTCTTTCTGTGTCTTTACATGGCAGGAAGAGCCAGCCACCTCTCTAGGCTCCACTTTATAAGGGCAACAGTGACACTGAAAAGGGCTCCACCGTCAGGACCTCATTACTTCTCCAAGACCCCTCATTCCTAACGCCATCACTTTGGGATTGGGGTTTCAGCCCAATAATTTTAGGGGGAAAGGACACAAACATTTGAAGAGTTGCTACATACTTGTAATTTTATTTTTATTTTTTAAATTTTTCATTATTGATGATCAGGGTGGGAAGGGTCGAGGATCAGGGGGTGTGGGTGAGAACCTTATTTATACATTCTCTTCTTCCTGTATATGGGGGAGAGGGAGAATACAAGAAGAGAAGCCACACCTAGTCTCCCAGCTGCCACATCACCCTGGGGGTTGGGGAACCGCCACCTGATGTCATCCCAAGTTCCCCATTGTGGAGCGTTCTGAGGGTTCCGCTCATGTGGTTTCAGTAGCTCTTGAGATGCTGCTGATATCACTGCTTAACGGATGAGGGAATTCTTCCAAGTTCAATTGGCTGTCATAGTCCACCTCCGAGTCTTCATTAATCCAAATTCTTGCTGTCAAGCTTCACTGGGGTAGTTGATCAGTTTGTTCTCCCCTTCATTCTCAACACACCAATGGATTCTGTGGCACAGCCCTGCTCAGCACACGCTCAGTCCTCACATATTACAGGGGAAGCTGCAGCCCAGTCAGAGTGACCCCCAGCTCTGGTTCCTGTGCCTGCCAGCATGTGCAGTGGATTGGTCTGGCCTTCCCCACATCCCATTGAGATCTTGTGTACATCATTGGGCATTGACGCCTAACTCCACCCAGCCGCTTCCACTCTCCAGCACACACTCATGCCAGCGGGTGCTACCACCCCTCCAGCCAGGCCCACCCTCAGTCTTGGTTCTCATGTGTGTCAGTGAGAGTTGCAGCCCATCGGAGAGGAGCCTACAGCCCCTCCACTAGACCCACTCTCTGCCCCAAACCTCTCATTCTCTGGGTGGTTTTGCGGTCTAGCTTCACAGGCCTTGCTCCCAGTCCCAGCACTTGTCAGCTGATTCTGCGGCAAAGCAGGAGAAACCACGCCTGTCCTTATTCTGGCTCATGCCTATACCAGTGGGTACAATCAGCTACCCTAGCCTGGCTCTCACCCTAACCTAGTTCACTTGTAGGCCAACAGGTGTTGTAGCCCTACCCAGCCTGATCTCAGTTCCAGTTGTTACGCTCACCAGCACGAGTGGTGACCCAGCATCCGAGTCCCTACTGCTCCCCTACCAGGCTCAACACTCCTATCTTAGTCTCACATGTGCCGGTGGGTGCTGTGGCTCAGTCTTGGTGTAGCGTGTCTGACCTTGACATTTACCAGTGGGTGCTATATCCTGGCCTGGCCCGGGCTGCCCCCATTCCAGCTTGCCTTGGTTGGAGCTGCTGCCCAACCTGGTGCAGTTAGCTCGTAGTCCCAGTCCTAATGTGAACTGGCTGGTGATGTGGCCAGACCCAGCTCATCCTGTACCACATCCCGATTCTCAGATCTGCCAGCAGGTGTTATGAATTAGTCCAGCCTAGCCTGCTCCCATACCTGAGCCACACATTTGCCGGCAGGTACTGTAACCTGGTCTGCTCTGGGCTGTGCCTTGCTTTGGTTCTTGTGCTCGCCTGCAGGGACTGTGTCCTGACAAAGGAGTTCCCTAAGCTCTTCTATTGGGTCTTCTCTCAGTGGCAGATCTTATGCGCACCAATGGGTCCTTGGTCTGGGCTGACTTAGTCCACCTCCTGTCCTGGCAGGAACAGTAGCCTTGCCCAACTGACCCCTACCTAATCCAGTTCTTACTCTTGGGTGCTACAGCCCATCCCAGCCACACCCAGTCCATGCCCTGATGCAGCTCTCATGTGGCCTAGTGGGAGTGGAAACCTAGTCCAACCTGTCCTACATCCACTCTGGCTCTCAAGAGCACCAGTGGATGCTGGAGTCTAGCCCAGTCTGGCACGCCCCAGAGCCCATCCACACCCATGCCGAGGGAGACTACAGCATGTCCAGGCCAGACCACCACCTCCACTGTGCTTTTGCGTTCACCAGTGGGAACAACAACCTAGCTGGGGCGTTCCCTCAGTTCCCCATCCAGCCTATTCTCGGCCCCAGCTACTGTGCATGCCGGTGGTTGCTGTGACCCAGTTTTGCATAGCCCATCCCATCTTGACCTTTGCTATCAGATGCTGCAGTCTGGCCTGGTCTGGCCTGTGCCCAATCCCAGTTCTCGCTGATGAGTGCTGTAACCTGGCCATGCCCAGTTCGCTCTCACCCATGACTCGTGGAAACCAGCAGGTGTGAAAGCCTAGCAGGCATGCCCCACATTGCAACCTGGCTCTTGCACTTACTGGTGAGCTAAGGTTGGCTTGGGCCTGCCCGGTCAGCTCCCTTCCAAAACCACGGCACACATAACACGCAGACATGTAGAACTACCCTACCTGGTCTGACCAATACCCAGGCCTGAGTCACATGCTCACAAGCAGGAGCAGTGGCCCTAGTTCCCCCACAGACCCCTCCCAGACCCATAGCTCACCCATGCCTGCGGGTGCTAGGCCCTTACTGGTCATAGGCAACCCTCTCCGTCCTGCATATGTATGAGTAGTGGATGTTGTGGCCCAGCCCTCTCCACACTATGTTCTTGGGTGTGTCTGTGAGTGCTGCAGCCTGGACTAAGCCAGCCTGGACCCAACCCCCAGTACCCATAAGTGTTGGTGGCCTCATGGTCACACCTAGCTCAGCCCGTGATCACTCCCAGCTCCAAGCAAACCAGTAGAAATTGCAGATCAAGGGATGGACCCACACATCCCCACAGACTGCCCCAAGACATGGTTCTCTTGAGTACTGCTTAGTGCCATGGGCCAGCCTAGCATTACCTGTCCCCAGTTTCGACTCTTGTTGGTGAGCACTGTGATCTAGCCCTGCCAGGTAGGCCCCCAGCCCTAGCTTTGGTGTGCCCCAGAGAGTGGTATTCAGCATTGGTCAAAACTAACTATCCCAGCTCTGCTATCCCTCTAGGGCTGCTATCTCAGTCTAAACCCAAAAGTCCATGCATTCATTCCTCTAGCTCCCAAAACCGGTGGCCACGGTACAAAAGGTGCTGGGTGAAGTCCATGGGCCACCTGGCCTGAGCCCTACTGCCTGGGAGCTCAGAGCTGGAGCTAGCCAGGCCCCTCTGCTCCCATACTTGTGATTTTTAAAAAGTCAGTACTAACTGATATAATGAGAAGAGTTTAAATTCTCTCCTTTACTCATCCTTGGCTTAATCCACAAATCTTTTAAATGTTGTGAAATAATGTGTGTTTTTTTTTTAAAGATTTATTTTTATTATTTTTGTATTGGAAAGGCCAGATATACAGAGAGGAGAGACAGAGAGGAAGATCTTCTGTCCGATGAGTCACTCCCCAAGTGAGCGCAACGGGCCGAAGCTATGCCAATCCAAAGCCAGGAACTTCTTCCGGGTCTCCCATGCGGGTGCAGGGTCCCAAGGCTTTGGGCCGTCTTCTGCTGCTTTCCTGGGCCACAGGCAGGGAGCTGGAAGGGAAGCAGGGCTGCTGGGATTAGAACCGGTGCCCATATGGGATCCCAGGCATGCAAGGCGAGGATTTTAACCACTGTGCCACCGCGCCGGGCCCAATAATGTGTGTTTTTACCTGTATCCACCTTCATTTCCTTTCTGCATCTGCTTTCAGTGGACTGAATTTAGTGGAATTAAAGATTTTCACAAGCGAGGAAGTATGTGCAATGTCCTTTTCTCTGATGCCATCCTGGAGTACAGGCTGTACGAAGCCGTCAAGTTCATCATGCTGTACCAAGTCACTGAGGTGTATGAGCAGATGAAGGCTGGCAACGCTGTCCCTGGCCTCTTCGGGCTGCTCTTCTCCAGGGAGACGTCCGCTGACCCCTTGAGCTTCATGATGAATCACCTCAATTCTGTCGGTGACACGTGCGGACTAGAGCAGGTAAATGGGGTGGAAGAACCTTGCACTCTTGACTAAGGATGACGCAGCAGCACTGGAACTCATAGGGTGCTTCCTGCGGTAGCGACAAAACCAGCTGCAGGTGCAGGGGCAGGTGTCTGATGAAGAGACTGTATCCCCTGTGGGAGGACCCGGGTTCCAAGCCTGGCTTGTTCCTGGTTTGAGCTTGTTGCTTAGCTCAACCCTGGCAGGTTGTGGTGACAGCGCGTGCAGCTGGGGACGGTACGGGAGGCCTGGGCTGGGTTCCCAGCTCTTGGCTTTGGCCTTTACTTACCTCAGGGTCTTTTTGGGCACTTGAGGAGTGAACCAGTAGGAGCTACCTCTCTTTGCCTCTCAAATTAATAAATAATGATAATAATAAACCAGTTTTTAAAAGGAAAAAAAATGTGAAAAAAAAAAACCCCAGCTACCCTGAGGAAGTTCTGGCCTTAGTTGCCCTGAACGGAAGGCAAGCGGGCAGCCCCTCTGCTCCAACTTGTGGCTGGAGTACACCGACCCTGGAGTCCATCTGACACTCAGGCTGCTTTGCAAACGGGAACAGGTTTTCCTGGTAAGAGATTAGCCAGGAAAAACTCCAGTTTGAAAATGGGAAAGCATCCAGGTCTCGGTTGTGGACAGCATTGCGGAAGTGCCGAGACCCCCGAGCCTCCTGGAGGAGCGCAGTTGTGTTTGGGTTTGCTTGTGTGGAAGGACACGAGGATCTGACGTTTTTATAGAATCATTGAAGATGACAGACCCTGGGCGGAAGCTGTGTGGCATGGATTGTCAGCATTCCTTCCTCTGTCATTTTCAGTTTTTTCCAAATTGCCTTTTCCTGGACATTTTTGGCTTTAGTCTGAGGAGGTGTTCCTACGCTCGTCCCTGCCTGGCACATAATGGACATTTTTTCCCAGCTGCCCACTCAGTGCCCTCTGGGGGGTGGTATGTGAACAGGTGGATTATTTAATCAGCAGTGAAAGAACGAGCCCCGCCCCCGCTGTGCGAGCCAGGAATGTAAGCGTGTCAGCCTGTGACCTCCTCTTGTCTCATCCCCAGATCGACATGTTTATACTTGCATACGCCCTTGAAGTCAAGATAAAAGTATTCAGACTGTTCAAGTTCAACTCCAGAGACTTCACAGTCTGCTACCCAGAGGAGTCTCGCCGGGAGTGGCCCGAGATGGCCCTGCTCACTGAGAACGACCATCACTATGACATTCCTGTCTTCTAAGTCAGCCTCGGCCGTGACAGAGGGCCCGCTGGCAAGGGGCGTGTCGCCCAGAAACCTCAGCTGGTGTTGCAGCGGCTGCAGGCGTCCCGGACTCCCCCTGGGGTCGCAGCTCGTGTGGCTTTGTCCAGCAGCCATCCCCGACACGTGTGGTTTGTGGTTTGACCTTGGGGTTGGTCGTTTCCCCCGAAGGCAAGCCTTTGAGGGCACACGGGAGTTCAGGATGGATAAGGACAGGATTAAAGAAGGCAAAAGAAAGCAAGTGAAGAATAGCCGCTCGCCTTGAAAGGAGGAGTGTCTTGAACCTTTCTGTTGTGTATGAAGAAATCTCGAGCTGACCTTGAGTGATCATAAATATGACTTTATTTCATGAGCATTACTTTCCCAGGATATTTGTTATATATTAATATCTAGAATCACTTGGTCAAGCTGTGTATATGTTTGTATACTTAAGAATACGTGTTTACGTAGGCACACATGCCCACGTGCGGAGGTTCGTCTGCATACATTCACCTAGGCACACAAGTAGTCATTACTTCCCGACGCTGTATAGTTTGATTTCTACAGTAGTGTTGCTGTTTTATCTGATGAGCTTAATATGTTCTATTTTGATAAATAAATTTTATAGACCAAGGCAAGCGAATGACAGTTACGAACTGTCAAAAAAATGTTAAATTGTCATGTTTTTATTTGTGCGTGTAATATGTGGAATTTCATTGAAGTAGCCAGAATGTCCCTCAGCTAGATGTCTACATCCTAGTTCAGACCTGGCTACTGTGTTGGATGAAATTGCAAGGACAATTCAGGCTGCAGGTCAAACCTTGAAGCGGAAGCTGCTTCTGCATTCTTGGAAGGAGGTCCCACTGTCATCAGGTGTGACGACCAAAAGGTCAGGGGCCTGGTGTGGTAGCCTAGTGGCTAAATCCTCACTTTGCATGAACCAGGATCCCATATGGGTGCCGGTTCATATCCTAGCTGCCCTACTTCCCATCTGGCTCCCTGCCTAGGAAATTAGTCCAGGATGGCCCAAAGCCTGGGACCCTGCACCCATGTGGGAGATCCGAAAGAAGCTCCTGGCTTCAGACTGACTCAGCTCCAGCTGTTGTGGCCACCTGGGGAGTGAACTGGTGGATGGACAAGCTTTCTCTCTGTATCTCCTTCTCTCTGTTCATCTGATTTTCCAATAAAAATAAATATTTCTTTTTTATTTTTTAAAGATTTATTTTTTTATTTTTTTTTATTGGAAAGGCTGGATATACAGAGAGGAAGATCTTCCATCCGATGATTCACTCCCCAAGTGAGCGCAACGGCCGATACCATGCTGATCTGAAGCCAGGAGACTCTTCCGGGTCTCCCACGCGGGTGCAGGGTCCCAAGGCCTTGGGCCGTCCTCTGCTGTTTTCCCGGGCCACAGGCAGGGAGCTGGAAGGGAAGCAGGGCTGCCGGGATAGAACTGGCGCCCATATGGGATCCCGGGCGTGCAAGGCGTCACCGCGCCGGGCCCAATATTTCTTTTTTTAAATAAAAAAGAGGGAAGTGTGAAATACAGAACAGTCAGAGGGAAAAGCACCATTTCTGGCTTTCAGGACAGAACAAGGGATGACATGTTATAAAGCTAGAAGAGGGGCGATGGCAGCAGCATAGCACGCTAATCTACCTGCGATGCTGGCATCCCGTGTGGGCACCAGTTTGTGTCCCAGCTGCTCCACTTCCCATCCAGCTCCTTGCTGGTGACCTGGGAAAGCAGCAGATGAGGACTCAAGGCCCCCATCATGAGACCGGCCCAGCTCTGGCTGTAGTGGCCGTGTGGTGAGCCAGCAGATGGAAGATTCTCTCCTTCTCAAATCGTGAAGGAAGCAGCAGCTAAAACAGGCAGAGGAATCGCTTGGCGGCCACTTGCCCCCCAGAGGGGCACAGCTCGGCCGCACTCCGATGTGGGCTCCTGGGAGCCTGAGGTCACGTGGCTGTGCTGAAGTTGCCGAGTTTGTATCACGTACTTCAGCAGCAATGGGAAACAGTCTCAGGCTGACTCGGTTTTCACCTCTGTTTTGGAAATACTTTTCTAGTTGACACCGGCAATCTGTATTTTAGAGATTTGCTTTGCTAGCATTTTGAATTTCAGTAAGTAAAATTTAAAAAATTTTTTAATCACGTGCCACTTTAGGGTCACAATCCTTTTATTTGAAAAGTATCTATTTCAAAGGTGGAGTGACGGGGCGGAGGGGTGGGGCTAGAGAGAGCCTTCCATCAGCTGATTCACTCCCCTACATGGCCACAGTAGCCTGGTTTGGATCAAGCAGGAGCCAGGAGCTCCGTCCTTGTCCCACGCAGGGGACTGGGCACAAGTACCTGAGGTGTCTACTTCCTTCTCAGATACGTTATTAATAACCTGAATTGCAGGTGGTGAGCTGCGACCTGAACAAGTGCTCCAACCTGGAATGCCAGCATCTTTGTTCTTAACCCAGCCTGCTGCCCATGACTTTGGTCCAATACATCCTTTCTAAGGGGTGATTTCCTGGGGCTGGTTTGTTGGAATAGTGAGTTAAGCTGCTGCTTGCAGTGGCAGTGTCTCCTAGGGCTCTGGTTCAAGTCTTAGCTGCTCCACTTCCCATCCAGCTCCCTGCATCTGGGAAGGAAGTCGAGGAGGGTCCAGCTGCTTGGCTTCCAGTGCACATGTATGAGACCTGGAGGAAGCTCTGGCTGCTGGCTGCTGGCTTCGGCCTGGCCCAGCCCCAGCACTGAGGCCGACTGGGGAGTGAGCCAGCAGATGGAGATCTCTGTCCCTCTGTGTCTCTGTAATTCAGCTTTCCAAATAAATAGAACTTTTTGCTTTTTAAAGGAATACTTGGGCCTACATGGGTACGTACCCCTCTCAACCATGCAAATAATATTGAAAATAAAATTTAAAAAATGTTAAAATAGGAATGATAAAAATAAGGAATACTTAGTTAACAAGGTGTTTCATTTTTCTACAAGTTTATATTGGGCCTACAACAAGTAAAAGTGTGAGGGGCCCTATTGTGGCATTGTGGGCAATGCCACCATCTGATGGCAGTACGGAAGGCAGGTTCGTGTCCTACATTTGCAGTCCAGCTCCCTGCCAGTACACCTGGGAAAGCAGCAGAAGATCGCACGTGCTTGGGTTCCTACACCCACAAGGGAGACCGTGAGGAAGTCTCTGGCTTTGGCCTGGCCCAGAACTGTGCTGCTCTGGCCATTCAAATGCATGACTTAAAAATGTTTGAAATGCTTTGGTATATGCAGTTTAAAAATGTTTAAAGATTTATTTGAAGGAGCATGCCTCCACCTACTGGCTCACGTGACGCATGGCTGTAATGGCCAGGGCTCAGGCGGAAGGCCGGAGCTTGCAGTGCTGATGGTCGTTGCCGGTGCCACGTGTCCGGGAGTGCCCACTGACCTCAGATCCAGGGATGTTGTAACGCCTCTGCAGCTGCTCCGGGTGAGTTCAGCTGGAGTTGTGCGTTGCTGCTGCCCTTGCCTGCTCGGCCCCACGCTGCAGCGACTGGAGTTCAGACTTGCTCTCTGGACTTTGGCTCCAGTTGTTGGGCTGTTCGTGTGTTTACCTAATTACCTGGATCCCTTTACTCAATGTAATTATTTCCGTATCAAGCCAGGAGTGAAAGAAAAACTTTGTCATCAGGCCTGGCTGGCTTGTTACATCAGTCTGCCCTGTGTGTTTATCTTGTGTGGTGGAGGAGAGGGAGGTGTGGAACAGGAAATCTGTTTGAAGAATTATTTTGTTTGTAGAAGGTATATAGATTCCATGTTTCACAATGCGGGTTTAGCACAGTGAATCTTCCCAGCCTGCCCATGTCCCCCCCTTCTCTTTCTTCCTTTATTAAAAAATCTTACAATGGCATACTTTATTTTATTTTTATATATATATATTATATGTTTAAAGATTTATTTTATTGGAAAGGCAGATATACAGGGAGGAGGAGAGACAGAGAGGAAGATCTTCCATCCAGTGATTCACTCCTCAAGTGGCTGCAACGGCCAGTGCTGCGCCGATCTGAAGCTGGGAACCAGGAACTTCTTTCCCAGTCTCCCATGTGGGTGCAGGGTCCCAAGGCTTTGAACCGTCCTGGACTGCTTTCCCAGGCCACAAGCAGGGAGCTGGATGGGAAGCGGGGCTGCTGAGATTAGAACTGACGCCCATATGGGATCCTGGTGCGTTCAAGGCGAGGACTTTAACCATTATGCTATCGTGCCGGGACCATTGGCATACTTTCAATTCACTTTACCATCATAGACTTGCCATTCTGTTAGATAAAGAGATTAACAGATAGCAAGTACAAAAAAATTTACTGTTCCTCAAGATTTTGGTTGAAGACTGTAAATAGTCAAGTCTCAAAATGTTAATTTAGCTGCTATTTATGACACTTTGTATTAGTTATAACAGAGCAGGGTAACCATATTTGTCCTTTTTAGGACTGGCTTATATCACCATGCAGAATGGTTTCTAGTTTGTTGTAAAAGACAGAAATTCATTCTTTTTTTGCTTGATACATACCACATTTATGCAGTCACTCACTGGTAGACATGAGCTGATTGCCAGAGATCTTTAAAAAATTAAGACCAAGTTCTAAAAACATTACAGTATATTAACCAACCAACCAACCAACCAAAGGGACGTTGAAATAGCTTTATGTTTGGGGAGGCGTCTGGACAGGGGGTCGAGGGAGAAGTTACTGGGAGGGCTTGTTTTTACTTTATGTAATTGTGTAATGAACATGACTCAGAAGTCAGGAGAAAATCATACAAATTAGTAAATTTAAATGCCAGCAGTAGTTTGGAGATATTGACGTGGAAGTATATTTTTTTAAAAAATGTTTATTTGAAAAGCAGAGGGGATCTGTCTTCTGGCTCACCCACCCAATGGTTGCAGTCACCAAGTCTGGGCGAGAGCAAGGCTGGGGGCGAGAGCAAGGCTGGGGCCAGAGCAAGGCTGAGGGTAATAGCAAGGCTGGGGTCAGAGCAAGGCTGGGGGTCAGAGCAAGGCTGGGGGTCAGAGCAAGGCTGGGGGTCAGAGCAAGGCTGGGGGTCAGAGCAAGGCTGGGGCCAGCAGCTCCACCTTGGGCTCTCATTCGGGTCCTCTGCTGCTGCCTTGCCGGTGCATGAGCAGTAAGCTGAGAAGGTGTGCTAAATCAGTATGGGGTGCTTAATAGAATGTAAGCCTGCATTTCCAAAAATCTATATTTATTGGAAAGGCTAAATATCTAGTAGATCTCAAAGGGATAGAGCAAAAAGGAAGTCCTAATCCCCTCACCCTCTGATTGTAGATTGCATGTCTCACATTTTGACCAGATGCGTTCATACTGAGGGGGTGTGTGACTGTTAGTACAAGACTGATGTTTTTATTATTATGACACACCTAATACAGATTATCATTTTAACCCTGGGTAAGTGTACAGTTCAGCATCCTCTCACTGATACTGTGCAGTCATTACCACCACCCATCCTCAGAACTTCTCCAAGACTGGTTTCATTGGAGCTAGCTGCCTATCTGCGTTGATTTCACACCCTTTGAATATGAGTATTGCTCTTTGCTTGGAAGTCAAGTTCTATGTGAAAGGAGGCCTAGGTGATCCGACAGAGCCAGCAACTCCTGTTTTACCCCATCGCTTGAGTGGGGCATGATATGGGTGCCTCGTGACTTCTAGTCACTCGTCTGAAAAGTTCCAAGAAACCGTTAAGTCAGAGCCATCCTGGTAATCCATATTTCTTGCGTGCAAATCTTCATGGTCTTGAAGCAAAGATGCCTCCGCCCACGGGGCAGTCAAAATCCCTTATAGGCTGGGACAACTGCTGGCGAGTGGCGCCGGTCAGTGTGGGCTGGCCGTCCGGATCAAGGATTGTTTGTGCTCGTTTTCCCAGTACTCCTGCAAATGGACTTCAAATGGAAGTGTGTGTGAGTGTTCGCAGTTCATTTTCTTTTTAGTGAGATAAAAGAAACAATACCATCCAAGCTGGGTCGGGAAGAAAAAAGAACCTAACCATTTAAAATATTCTAAAATGGTGGGACGTCCACATCGAAGAAGGTAAGTGGTCTTTAATTGATAATTAATGTGTGGAAATCCATCGGAATATGAATAAAAGGGCATCTAGAAAGCATCAGGTTTTCTCCTGACAAGTTCTTAATATGGTATAATTATTTTTATTAAAATGTGTTTCACACTGCTTATCAAGACTAGTTAGTGTAACATAAGTAAGATAAATGCATATTTTCAGGATCCTAACATTTTAACTGTCTATAGGGTTGCTTATCATAGTTGAATATTGTTTACCTTATAAACGCTATTGTTTGCATTTTGGTATACTTTATAGTTATTCACTTGGGGGGTTTTAAAAGTATATTTTTACTCAATTGACAAGTAATGCAGCCATTCACTTCCTTCAGATTCCATTTTGATGCCAGCGAACACTCGGGTGGGCTGCAGCTCGGCCCTTGGGGCTGCTGGGATTGTCTGAGGAGCCCCAAGCCCCATGGGAAGAGCAGCTCAGAGCCAGTGAGCACAGGTGCTGGGTGAGTGGTTGTCACGTGTCGAGGTCAGGTGTCCCTGGTGCTGGCATCCTGGGAGAGCACCTGTATGTCTGAAAATCACATTTGTGGACAGAAGTCTCCTGGCTCCCCTAGTCAGAGCTCTGGTGTCGGATCACTTCTGAAATCATTTGGCGCCAGCAGCGAAGGTTACTGGCTTATTTGTGATGCTTCTTGGGAAGTTCAGTCAAGAGAATTAAACAAACAAAAAAAGAGCTTGGTTGAAGTATTTCATTTTCATTTTGATGGGTTGTACAACTTTTTGCTGGGGACCTGGGAGGGTAAGCCACTGCAGGTAACACTGGTGTACCAGTGCAAGGCAGGAAGCTCTTGACCCCTGAGCTTCAGCCTGGCCTGGCCCTGGCTGTTGCGTCTGGGGAGTGAGCCAGTGGATGGAGGTTCTCTGTCTCTCTCTGCACTTAGAAGAGCTTTGACCAAACACTTGAATTCCAGTCCTGTGTCTGTGTTGTGAGCGACAGATGCTGATGAGCTTGAGCTTTGGTGTTAATGATGGGAAGGAAATGTTGCCTGAGTCTAGGTCAGTCTTGTTAGAAATTCCATGAAGTGGGCCCAGCGGCGTGGTCTAGTGGCTAAAGTCCTCGCCTTGAACGCGCCGGGATCCCATATGGGTGCCGGTTCTAATCCTGGTAGCTCCACTTCCATCCAGCTCCCTGCTTGTGGCCTGGGAAAGCCTTGGGACCCTGCACCCGCATGGGGAGACTTAGAGGAAGAGGTTCCTGGTTCCCGGCTTCGGATTGGCGCAGCACTGGCTATTGCGGTCACTTGGGGAGTGAATCATCGAACAGAAGATCTTCCTCTCTCCTCCTCTCTGTATATCTGACTTTGTAATAAAAATAAATGAATCTTAAAAAAAAAAAGAAAGAAAGAAATGCCATGAAGTATGTGGGTTCTGCTCAACCCCAGATTGTCAAGGCTGCTAAGCTTCCATGGGAGGGAGCACTCCCTTGACCATGGGGGCGGGAATGTGATAACTGTGTGGCAACTGAATTTATGGTCCCAAGTCCACAACATCATAGACATGTTATCATTTACGTTTGAGAGCTTAGGGTGTGATGGGGTGGGGTTGTGGACCGCAGGTTCAGCCCAGGCTGGTAGTGCTGGCCTCCTGGCTGCTGTGTCTTGACTGCCCCACTCCTGATCACCTCTCTAGTGTTGTTCCTGAGAAAGCAGCAGAGTACGGTCCACATCCTTGGGCCTCTGCACACATGGGAGACCCCAAAGAAGCTGCAGTCTGGCGCTGCCCCAGTTTCTCCTTTCACTGTCAATCAGCCATTCAAACAAAAAAAATGGTTTTTAAGGTTTATTTATTTCTACTTGGAAGGCAGAATTATTTTTAACAGAGCTAGAGATCCTCCATTCATTAGTTCACTCTTCAAATGACAGCAATGGCTGAAGCTGAGATGATCCAAAGCTAGGATCCAGGAGCCTCCTCCAGGTCTTCCAAGACCCTGAGCCAACCTCCACTGCCCTCCTAGACCACAGGCAAGAAGCTGGAATGGAAATGGAACAACCGGAACACAAACTGGCGCCCATGTGGGACACCAATGCTCTAGGTAGAGGCATGGCCCACAATGCCACAACACCAACCCAAACAAAACTTAAAAAAAAAGTCTGAGGGGAGTTGACGTAGTGGTGTTTTGTTGATGGAATATTTTTGAGTGCTAGATGAATTTTACAAATTTCAAGTTTTCATAATGTGTGTTAATTATTTCCTGATAGGACCCTCAAACCAATGAGAAATAAAATGCATAAATAGGAAACTGGAAAAGAGCTGTTGAACAGGCAATAAATGTTAATGATGTAACATGAGCTGAAGGGTAAGCCAGACTTTGTCACCAAGATTGGGAAGTCATTCCAGACCCCAAGTAGACTGCTGACATTCTAAGCACTGCAGAAGAATGGCTCCCGGTCAGGTAGGCTGGGAGTGGAAATAATCATTCCTGAAGGAATGGGCAGGGTGGTGTTGTGGGGTGGGGATGGAAACCCTTGGACTTTGGCAATGCCTGGCCTTGGGCTCCTTCTCCTGGCTTCCCAGTGGTGGCAGCTCCTCTCTGTAGCTTCTCTCCTCCAGGAGAAAAGTTCTGGATGCCGCCATTTATTGCTGTCATGGAAGCACATCCTGAGCAATTTCCCAACATTCTGAAGCCAGAGAAAAGGCAATAATGAAATCGGGGGTCAAACTCATGCCTGTCATACTATTCCCTTTAAATCAGATGAACTGTTTTTATGGTTTGTTTTTCCTCAGGAGGCAGCATCTGGTTTTTGGGAAAGCACCAGAGGGAAGCATCCTGTGCTAGTCACTCTAAGGTTGAAGCCAAGTTTGGTCCCGGTCGCTGTGTACGAACCATCTGATGATGGAGGTCAGTGAAATGGGGGTGCACCTGTTCAGCTAGGCTTTGTAGAGCATCTTGCCCACCTCGCTCTGCTCCCCAGTCAGAATGCACACATACTTCATTTCCATGATGGCTTCTAACTGAGGTACTCTTAAGCCCAGGTTATTCAGCACACTTGCGTAGACTTTTAGTGTCACAGAATAGTCTGCATTTCCAGAATAAATTTCTCAATGGCACAGTGGGATGACTTGATCAAGAATTCAGTAATAAACACAACTTTCACGAATGCAAGTGTTTTCACAAATTTGGTCTCAGTTTGTCACCCATAGGTAATCACAAGTTTTAGATAAAGAAATGACACTAACAGAGGCAAGTGAGTTTTTCTGAGAATTTTTCCACATAATTTGCTAAATGGATGGGCTAATCACCTGCTGCGATAGATCTTTGAAGATGCTTATACGAAGTACAAATGAAGTAAAAATGTGATAGAAAAGTCACTCCTGGGTAACTTGCGGATCTGGCAGATCTGGGGACTTGCTTTCCTGAAAGGAATGCAGGCTCCGGGGATCTGTCCGCGGTGCTGAACCAGACCTGCCGCAGTTAAGTCAGAGCATGGCTGTCCCTCCTGCACTTCGATTGCCAGTGACAAAGCTAACAATATAAAATTATTTTTTCAAATATTAATTTTTAAAGAATTTGAAGTATTTTATTTTCAACATAACAGCTTTATGTAATTATAGGAATACCTCAACAGTTCGTGGAAAATGGAATTAGAAGGTAAGTGAACTTACTTTGATAAGAAAAATGAAACATAGTATTTCATAACATGCATTTCTCATAAATTCATAATTTATACCGTTAAATTCATACCATTAAATCCTTTTAAAAGCACATAACAGTGGACTCTAGTGAAGTTTTGTACAGAAGTACAAGTGTTACAATGTTCATTGTTTTGGATTACATTTGAGATTTGCTGTGGACAACTGCCTGGGCTGCCTAGGCAAGTGTTACATCGCTGGAAGAAAAGCAGCCAAGAGCTGACAGGCACGCTGGGCCTGGTTAATGTCAGATTTGCATTAACTATACCAGTGTGCCAGCGTAGTTACCTGTCCTGTTTTTATTTTTTAAAGATATGCGAGGAAGCCTGGTAATGCCAGGCTGGGACATGCCACCCAGCCTCCAGCCTTGGGGGCTGCAGATGGCTTGAGGAAGGGTGTCTAGGGACATATTTGAGTGGGAGTGGATGGGCCCGGCACGATAGCGTAGTGGTTAAAGTCCTCGCCTTGCATGCTCTGGGATCCCATATTGGCACTGGTTCTAGTCCCAGCAGCCCTGCTTCCCATCAGCCCCCTGCTTGTGGCCTGGGAAAGCAGTTGAGGATGGCCCAAAGCCTTGGGTCCCTGCACCCATGTGGGAGACCCTGAACAGCTCCTGGCTCCTAGCTTTGGATTGGCTCAGCTCTTGCCAGTGCGGTCACTTGGGGAGTGAATCAATGGATGGAAATCTTTGTCTCTGTCTCTCCTCCTCTATATATCTAGCTTTCCAATAAAAATAAATAAATCTTGAGTGGGAGTGGCTGAGGGCATGTTTGGTAGGGGAAGAATGACTTCTGGGGTCTTCCACAGACTGGACCATTGGACTCACAGGTAGGTGAGGGAGCTAAGAGTGGGTTAGAGGGGGAACTGTAGAGCATGGCTGGGTCAGGTCAAGGAACCTGCCCACATAGGAGACCTGGAACGGACTAAATAGCATTGCCTGCTGCCCATTGGTGTATGCAAAAGCTGGGACTGGAGTGCCTGCCTGACTGGGCCAGGCCATAGTACCTGTCTGCTAGTGTTGGAACAGCGGGGAGGCCACGTCATGGTGGCTGCAGCACCCACCAGAACGTGAGAGAACTGGATCTGGGGCAGATTCTGTGGGGGGAATTGTGGGCTTGCTTCTGTGGGACTGCAATATCCATTGTTTTACATGGAGAACTATGGTGGTGATGGGCCAAGCCAGGCTGGACCGTGGAACTTGCAGGAACTGGAGCTAGAAGAAGGCCAGACTAGGCCAGGTGTATCACCTGCCAGTGCATGCAAAGGCCAGGACTGAGGGCAGACCAGGTCAAGTGGAACCACTGTACCTGACAGTGTCTCAGAACTATCAAAGCCCCTCGGGTAACACCCTCGGAACACTCTTCCTCACATCAGGGTCTCCAGGGCGTCTTCTGATGGCCGTCCCCCAGTTCTGGGTCCTGATGCAGTTTGACAGCAGGAAGCAGTCCCTTCCCTTTCCTCCCCTGCAGACACAGGAAAATAAAACAAAACCTGAGACATTTGTCCCACCCCTTTCTCCATACCTCAACCCTCTCCACCTTAATCAGAGGTCCTCATGGGCTGGCATTCCTCTCTATGTAAACTGTATTAAAAAGAAAGTTAAAAATAACAAACTTCAACTAAATTTATAGTCTTATATGTCCTTTGCTTTAGTTTATTTTAAAGTCATAATAATAGAGTTTATGAATAACCTATACAAGTAGTTCTATGTAGATTTATTTTTTTAAAAACAGATACCTAATACAAATTAAGATCTGAATTTCATTTCCTGAAAATGTTATTCACTTGCTTTCCTGAGAGGCAGAGAGCTTCCCTGTCTGCCAGAGGCCTACAGTGGGAGTGAGGGCTGAGCCCGGCTAGAGCGAGCAGCCGGGGCTCAGGCCAGGCTCTCCCTGTGTGTGCCAGCGGTCCAGTTCCTAAGGCCATCCCTGCTGCTCTCTGGTCAGTCCGTGACCAGGAGGCTGGAGTCGGGAGCCAGAGCCGGGGATGGAACCCAGCAAGTGTCAAGCATAGTAGTTGTTGTAGGCCAGGATTAAATTATTAGAGTTCAAGTTGGATGTATTATGTCCTTCAGTAATTATATGCTGCTGAACCAAAATTAAAATACATTTATTGAGTTTATGATTATTAAAATATACCTTCCTCCCTAGGTTTTGTTTTTCACAGGAGATCTTGCCTCAGTAGGAGAGCTACCTCTGGACTGAGGTGGAGTAAAAGTAGTTCTGGTTCTTGTACTGATGTGCAAAATTCCTGCGTCAGACACTCTCTGACTGCTTCCTTCCTTCCCAAGGAATCACACCCCCAGATGCCCAGACAGTCCTCCCTGGCAGAGCTGGGCATTCTGGCGGAAGGCTGACATCACGCCTCCATTGGAGCCCTGGGTGAGAGGCCATGCTGTGGCCTCCACAGCCCCCGCCTGCAGGCGTTGCTGACACCATCCAGAAAGGGAGGGGAATTAGTGCACTGTGGGGTGACCTCTGACCAGTATGAAATAGGAGCTGGGATCCCCATGGAATAGTCTGAGAACTATTACCTCTTGCACCCGTTATGGAAAAGCTCATGTAACAGCCACACCTCTGGCTCCATGACCTGCCGTTCTTTGTTGCCTAGCAGCACATGGCATCATTTTGCTTCATCTCTCTTCTTGCCTCATTGTCCTGGCTTTCCAATTCACAGAGCAAATAAAACTCACTGTTTTGTAGAGGACCTACCCTAGCTGAAGGCCTTAAAAGAGAGTGCACATTTGTAATTCAAGGACATAAACAAGGGTGCAAATTAGGGTGCAGATTTCAGGAGCTGAAAAGCTTATCCAAGATAGTCCAGTTCGCTTTCTCAGGACATGGGGACCTTTCAGTGGATGTGTGGGGTCAGAACCTACTGGTAGATGTGTTCACCTTTTTCACACTCAGCTGTGTTGTTTCCAGAGGGTGGCGCTGTTGCTGTGTGAAAACCAAAGCTGGCAGGAGAACCCATTGTCATTCAATTAAGCCAATTGGTAAGGTTTGCAAAATTGGAGACAGTGCTACTATTATTGTTTTTTAAGTTTTCATTTATGCCAATGGGTTTATGATTTTTTTAAAGTACCCTGCATATGGCCTTTCAATTTCTTTTTTAAAAAATTACTCAGTGCACTAAATATCAATACTCGGGACTACAATGACAAGAGCTCCCTGGAGTCTCGCCAGAGTCAGGACTTGACTATGCTGGAAGGAGGCCTTGCTCCTGACGGTTCCCAGAGGACTGAGAGGCCTCCTTTGCCCTGCAGGGACCCAGGGCAGCACAAGGGCTGGCCAGGAGGGAAGAAGTCCTGGGAAAGGTGGGTGGGAGTTGATAGGTGAGCCAGAGTGTAGGGTTGCTGGTTTGAGTAATTGCAGGAGGTTCGAGTTGTCCCAGCATTGGCTGGTCCCTGGTTTTGATTAGGGCAAGAGCCTGTTGTCTTGGGGCCCGAAGGGTTCTGTGAGAGGCCACAGAAGGAGCAGGGGGGCGGAGGAGGCTCGGATGGGCTGTGTGTGGCCTGTGTGCTTGCTGTCAGGGAGCTCTGTGGTCACTGGGAGGGCCCGGCCAGTCTGCGGCGGACAGTGTGTGTGGGTTAGAGCCCCAGACGCACGCCAGAGCATCGGGATCCGGAAGGGAGAGGTGCTACAGGCCCTCAGTAGTTTCTAGGGGTACAAACAAGAAATGTTCTTGAGACCAAAATATGTCAGAATGCACGGTGATGCGCCCTGGCTCTTCTGGACTAAACATAATGAAAGGGTAGTATTTTTTTTTTAACAAACAAAACAGACAGTCATAGAGCAGGAGAGAGAATAAGATCTTCCATGCACTGATTCACTCTCCTGAGTGACCACAAGAGCCAGGGCTGGGCCGGGCTGAAGCCAGGTGCTTTGCAATCTGTCTGCACCATGCCTGGGGGAGAGAGGCCCCAGGACAGCCCCAGGCACACACAGCGGGCTGGATTGCAAGTGGAAGCATCCCAGATTTGAACCATTGCCAAGGGGGATGTGCTGGCACAGCTGGTGGCAGCTTAACACACTGCACCACAGTGTTGGTCCTGAAAGGTTCTTTGATTCTCATGCAAAGTCTTCATACTTGTGAAATGCAACTTGAGAAATATTTAAACATTTTTATAAGGCTGCATGACTGAACAAAGAAAAACAGCAAATTATTTTAGTTTAATGAATATCTCTCCATGCTATTCTCATTTGTTTCCCCGTTTACCCACAAATTAATAAAATTTCATCATTACCTAGGGAAGAGTTGAGACACTGTTGCTTGGAAATTTCTGTCGTAGGAGGATGATAGCTAGAAGCTGATGGCAGAAGAGGTGTGATTTATAGATTGAAGGACTTGAAAAGCCTGGAGGGTGGGAAGGGGAAAAAGGGGGGTGATATGAAACCCCAGAATGTGGGTGGAAGGAGGGTGGGTGACCTTGAAGGCCATGGGATCGGGGGGAGAGAAGCCGGGAGTTTGCACCTGAAGGGTACGGAGCCTCTGGGTCACAGCAAGCTCCCAGTTACACCGGAGGGGGACAGTGGGTGACAAAGTCCCCATACACAGTGCAGGAGCTGGGGGAGGGAGTGCACCGAGAGCAGACCCACGGAAGGTGAAGGCCAGCTGAATTTACACTCGAACAGCAATACGAGGAACTGCAGGGAAGCCTAGCTTCTCTAACTGGGAGTTTGGAGGGAAGGGAGTGGGGAATGGTAAGAGCATGGCCGCTGAAGCCCACTGGCCTGCTTCAAGTCCCCACTTTCCCGTCAGTGTAACAGAGTGGAGAAGGGTCTTGTGGAGGAGTTGTGCTGTGCAGCTGTGTGGGGGAGCCAGTGACTTACAACACTGGCATTTCCATCCATGTCCCTGCTAACGGATGCCCAAGGGTTCCATGTTGGTTCCCTCGGCTTATATGGCTGCCTAGACTCTTGAGTGGAATGCACTCAGTTCTACTGCTCTGCCTGCCCA